AGCAAGCTTTGGGTGTCTTGTTAACTTGTAATTTGTGGGGTTTGGCCTTGTGTGTAAGAATTTGAAAATAACGTCAAGAAATTTCGAAAAAAATATTTCTTGTCTGTTATATGACAAGGCTCTGCGCTATGGAGATGGGCTACTTGGGGAAATAGAAGGAAAGAATGGTCTAAGAGAGAGAACTCTAGGGAGGTGTTGGTGGTGACCTCGACTCGAACATGAGTGTTGGGAAATGATGACGACCAAATACATTAGCATTTATTTTCATATTTTTTAAAGTTGGATATAGATAGTGTAGGTTGGATTGAGGTTAAGTGTCTTGTTATGTAGTGAACTTAGTGGAAAGATAGGGCAAATTTTGGGAAAGGTCGGGGTGAGAAGGAACGAGATAGGCAAGTTTGGGAAAGATGGTACCGGGTAATGTAATATGAGGCAAGATGGGGTAAGATGTGGTAAGATGGGACAGAATGGGACAGCACTGGACAAGATGGGGAAAGATGGGGCAAGTTTGGGAAAGATGGCACCGTGTGGGGAAATGTGAAGCAAGATGGGGTAAGATGGGACAGCACTGGACACGATGGGAGAAATATGAGGATAGATGAGACAAGATGGGACAGAAAAGACCAAAGTACTGCCATGAAGAAAGGTGACTCGTGCTGTTGTTGCGTCCTGGAGATCGTTCTTCATCAACATCTGGCACAAGACAACGACCTGCCAATCTACTCAACTAGTCATGCACGGACACAGTTTACCCAGACACGCAATCATCATTGAATCAGGTGGGTTGAAGGATAGTTAGCTGTATGTGGTCAGTTAAATTCCAGTGACACGTACCAGTTAGTCCAATCTGCTCTAAATATTATATATATATATATATATATATATATATATATATATATATATATATATATATATATATATATATATATATATATATATATATATATATATATATATATAATATACTTACTAGGCATGTCAACTTGATCCCCGTCCCTAAACACGCCCTGAAGGCGCCCACGATCAGACCCACAATAGAAAAGTCTGAACAATCGTATCGGCATTACCCATTAAACCATAAATAGTTTACTGTTCTTTATTGTTCTTTAATTCAACTCAATTAAGTCCTTAAATTAAAGACATCGCCGCTAGCATTGTGCTAAAATTTTCCCCGGGCATTGTTTTTGAATCGTTTATGACGGCAGAACGACACAGTTATTCGAATCTCTCCTCAAGGTATACCCCCCTCCCCCTCACTCTTCGAATCTAGAGGGGAAAAAAACACTTCCGACGACTCGCGTTTCTGAGTTGGCCAAACGAGCCATGAAATAATGATGTCCCCTGCCCTCACTATTGACCCTCTTTGAATCTGTTTCCGGTCGCGACCGCAAACGTGAAGGCGTTAGGTTTCTGATTTTTTTTTTTTTTTTTTTTTTTTTCTGAGCCTAGAGACTCTTGCACAAAGAAGAAGCATTTGTTACATTGCTGCCTTCAATAGGGACGTAAAAAAATATAACAATAGGTGATTGCTTTCGTTTATGTAATTTTGATTGAAATAGTTATTCCCGGGGATCCACTGGTTGAAAAGATAAAGCACGGACAAAACGAATTTAAATGTTGACTGCAGCAAAAATGTCTAAGATCTCGACATAAAAAATAAACAAACAAAAGTACTCAAGATTTGATTTATTTTCCGCGAACATGTTCTCAAAATGTTTGGGTCTCGTTTAAGAGATTGTTGATTAATTGAGTTATAATGTGAGCTAGTACCAGCAGTAAGAAAATAAAACAAAATGGCTGTGCTGTGCCTGCCAACTTATGCCATAATGCTCTATACATTTGATTACAATCCAGATTTTTTTTTCCGTCTGTTTAAAAAAACAGTTGGTCTAAAATTATGCTCTGGAGAACATTGATGTGATTTGGTTTTAATTCAAGTGATCCCCATCAAAGGCTACGTTGTTGTTATGTATGTAATATGAAATATGTTTAAGTAGCTGGTTAGTTTTTCTACCCTTGAGGTCTATATGGCAGTTGAAGTAGAGTTAAGCTGATTCTGTGACCTTGGCACATAAAGAGCTTGATTCGTTAGTTTTATGCCCAGCCTTCTATGCTGTCCAAATTGTAAGACAGGTACTAATTAGAACTGGGTTGACGTCTTATGGATTTATATGGACTAGAGACTGGGATCCGAACCCGAGACTTTCGGGATAGCAGTCGTACGCTCTACCGACTGACCACGCCACGCCAAAATTAAAAAAAAAATAGATTAAAAAATAAAATTGGATATTGGAATCCAAAACCAAGCACTTCCGACCACAAGCATTTCTTTAACTAATTATAATTAGGCCTAATTAAATGAATTCTCCAAATGCACAACCGAACAGAGCCTAATAACATGAAGTATAAAAAAACAGGTAGTGCATATGCTAAATTAATTATTGGCTTTCAATGAAGTTGCGTCTATTGCGGTCGTCATGTGACAATATTAAGATGTAGTGTCCTGTTAATATTAAGTCGTGACGCCCCGTTATGCAATGATTAATGGCCGGGAATCGAACTCGAGACCTTCTATTCGGCAGTTGTACGCTCTGTCCCCCGACCAGGCCGGTCTACAGTTCCTTTAAAACATAGACAGCACACTACATTTGTAATACAATTCGCACAATCCCATTTCAAAGATGTTCAATCTATAAAATAAGACTTAAAGAAATGGTTGCAAATTTTAGCTGTTTCGCGTCCAAACTCCTGTCATCGTACCGAATTGCTACACAAATCAAAACAAAGTGTCGTGTATGGTGAACCGATGTGCCTAATACAGTCCCGGGGGACAACTAGGATGTAATCTTTAGCTTGGTACTTAATCCTCGCAAGTCGTGTCGTAAACAGGAATACAGGATGTCGGACCACCTTTAAGGAGCACCAAAATGTAAGTTGCTTCATGCTGCTGCTACTGCTGCGTTCTTGTCGCTGTAAGTTTCCTATTATAATGGGACGCTACGCTTCGTCCACAGAGAGCTTTCAGGCATCTCTTAGGGGTGGGGTGGGGGGGGGGGCCCTCGAAGAAAGTCTACCGCCCCCCCCCCAACGAAATGAAATTTATATAGAAAATATATACTTTTAACAGTGTCCGCAGCCCAGAAGAAAGTCTACAGACCCCCCCCCCCCCACCCCCGAAAATTTCAAGTGCACCCAGGAGAAAAAAAGTCTGGAAGAAACACTGCTGCCACACCGTCCCATGTTGACCAGCACTACAGTATCCAGTTGTCAAGGTCCATCTGTTGAAAGGTTTGGTGAAAACTCGGCCAAGGTTTTGTGCGGGTAAAGCTTGGGTACCTGTATAGATTGGGTGCCGGTAAAAATGTGTCTTTCCGTTAACGTTTGGTTACTGGTAAAGAATGGGTACCTGTAAAAATTGGGTGTCGTTAAACAGTGGGGCCCCATGAGTCCCAGTCCGGGGTGGACTGGGCCGCCGTGACACCGAGAAAATCCCGGTGGGCCGCAGAGGCATAGGTCCGGTGGATCGCCAAGAACGGTGTTGTAATTGGCATGTTATTAGTACTTTGATTTTAAAAAGTAGGCGTATTTGTTGGTAAATTTACCACAGCATCATGGCTGCGTACTTTTGCATGTTACCATTTCTCTTCCTTTATGCCTCGTAAGTTTCATACATAATAAACGCACTCAGAAAATTGAACGACTTTCATTTTCCCAGGCCGGTTGTTTACAACTAGCCCAACCATGGTTCCAGTATATTATATCGGGTATCGGTTAAGATCGGATTTGTATGAACTGTAATGTTAACACCTAACCATTAAGTTTAACCTCACGAGAAGGTAACCACTGACTGATTTATTACGGATATTACATGAAAATACTATGCTAATACCCACAAATACGTCACGGTCTTTTCAAGTGTGACTAATTAATCACTGTAGGCATAGTGATACCAAAGCAGTGTGTTGAGGATTAAGAAAATATTCGGTTCCTCTGACAATGTCTGATAGTAATTACGTTTCTCTACATTATAAATATAAAAATAATAAATAATTATCTATCATTAGCTTATATTATATTTTAATACACATTTTGTGTGTGTTTATACTCCAGTGTGGATAGCGTTGACCACAACCATGCTATATGTTCTGAAAAGAAACGTACAACATATAGGCCTACACGACTACGTTATCCAACCTACACCATGCTGATAAAATGGCGGCTTTGGGGCAGATCGAACTCCATACGACTGCAATTCTGCAAGAAGAAGAGAAAAAAAAAAAAAAAAAAAAAAAATCCCTTAACCAATCAAAACCCGCGCTCTCGTCAACCGCCGGCCCAAATGGGCGGGTCCTATGAAGCCGAGTGACAGATTCCGTGCTTGGAGGGACGGTCTCGTGCGTCGCGTGGCTTCTCGTGCCGTTCCATGCCCGGGGACGGGCCGGGGACCGGTATTCGGCCAGGTTACGTGGATCACAACACGAGCGACATAGGGGCTAGTCACGCAGCGGCGTCAGGCGAAAAATTTTAAAAATTGATTGATTCGGACGAGTCCGGGAGCCCCCGTGACAGGTGTGGTTGTGTTTTCACGGAACCTTCTCACGCGGACCTGCACTACCAACAAGCACTACTCACGATTGTCGGCTGGAGTTGTTTTTAAAAAAAAAAAAAAAAATTCTCGCGCGTGCATGGACACTAATTAGGTGTCTCAACTTATCATGAAACGTTCGTTTTAAACCATTTGTTTGATAAAGCTTTAGAAGTTTTTTGTTTTTTTTATCGTAATTTTAGTCATGCAAATCTCGTGACTGGAAATTTGTCAACTTCAAAGCGACTTTTTTGAACATCAGTCCAAGAAAAATTAAAAAAAAAACTCGCATTTATCGATTGCGAAATATTCAAAATGTAAATGATAATACATCGCGATATGGTCAAAATGAAAAAGTTTCAAGAAATTTTGATGTGAAATAGGCGTCCACGCGCGTGAACGGACAAGTCAGAACGCGGGAGTTGTGGATTATCTTCGAATGCCAGAGAGAGCAGTTTGACCAGTGGGAGAGCCGCCGCCCCAGGCATCCAGGAGGAGTAACTCTAGTTCCAGAACAAGAGGAGTAACTCCGGCAGTAGAACTGGATGTTGGAAGATTGGCTGATCAGAACAATGTACGCCACTAAGAGAAGACGCCGGACTGTCAAAAGGTAGGAGTAAAAAAAAAATTCTTAACTTGTATTTAAAAAAAAAACCAACAAAATACTTAATTCGTCCAAGACTTTCGTTTTTTTTTCTTAAAGTGAAAATAAAATTCCGCTTGCATGTTCTTTTATCGCATGCAGTCATGCGTTGTATCTGTAATACAGAAACAAGCGTACCAACACACGACACGGTGTCAACTCCCCCTCCCCCACCCCCACCCTTGTAACGTGACGTAGACCCAAACCGTGAGCGATTATTTCTACTAGCCCGGGACCCCGGGGGTTGTCACCTTGCTCAAGTTGTCCCCACACGCACATACCAGTGCACAATGGGCCCTCAGCACGCGGACCCGTCATTGTCTAACACCGTGCGCCGGGGGAACAATTTCGACTCACGCAAGGTCAATTTTAGGAGGGGGGGGGGAGCTGCAAAGGCTTTACACACAAACATGAGTACCGTACCGCACGCGCAAGGGGTAGGGTCGAGGGGTGGGGGGTGCCATCTAATATCCTCTACACTCATATTCTAGAAGTCGTGCGGTCTGCTAACATACAGTTCCAGCAGTTAAAAAAAAAATGTACTCTACACTTCAAGACAGTAGAAATGATTCTGTTCCTTAACACTAACCTTAACTAACCAACATCACTAGTGGTCAGGTAACAGTTTTATGAGAGCGCCTACGGTCACGTGAATAATTAATCCAATTATTTATGATACGAAAGTCAACTCTGTATGCAATAAACATGGAGTTATCGAACCTTTGGATTTATTGTTTTGTCATGAAGGTAAACGAAATAACTTTATTATTCTTATATTCACACATTTTATTAAAAAAACTTTTTAAAATAACCCACTTACACGGAAACAGACTAAAATACATTAAACTTATTAAAAAAGTTAACTTTTTAAAAATACTTTTACTTATAAGGCCTTGTATTGACTTTAAAATAACAATCGTACCAATTTTATTTCACGTTTCTCCTTTGATAACTTAGGTTTTGGTCTTAGTGGGTGAAGTGTGGTGTTGGATTAAAGAGGGAGAGGGGGGGGGGGTAGGCTGTCCCCCTTCACTCCACCCCCTATCTATTAGAAAACAACTGCAACCTGTTTTCGTATCAAACCCAAGTTTTAAATTGTGAGTTTGGTCATTTGTGCAACCAAATGTAATTATTTTACAACCCAAAGTGTTAACTTCAAATTATTTTACAAGTCACATGATTCTACTGAATGGGCAGTTTTAAGTTTGAACACTGGAAAAAATACAAACTAAATTCATTATATCTACACTAGTAATTCAGTTGCAGTTTAAAATAAATAGACTTGTAAAAGATTGTAATAAAAAGACAATTCTTAAACTGTGCAAGATAGTTATATATTTTTTCATCTATTTTTCTGCTCTTATTTACTATAATAATTTGTACTTCGAGAAATATCAGCTATCGTATTAAATATATTATATTATCTTATTTTTAAATTAAGAGTTGAATTAAGTGCCATATTTAAAAAAATTCCATTTTTAACATCTAGTTTATTTTGCTAAAAAAATATTTACCGCAACTATAACGAACGTATTTAAAACTTTTATTGTCAACTTTAAAACATAGCGGTTGATTTTCTGTAAAATATTTTTTAAAAAATACGTGTTAACTAAATATTCGAAACAAACAGTACCCTCCATCGGGACCTGGATGCTTTCCCAAAAGACACTTGCCGGATTGCCGTTTGCCCGAATGCCGTTTCCGCCGAATGCCGTTTGCCCGAATGCCGTTTGCCACGAATGCCGTAGGACTTTTGCCCGAATGCAACAAATTCCTGAACGAACCCTAGCCCGAATAAAACGAATGCAAGAAAAGCCGTTTTTATTTAACAAGTAGCCTATATGATTAATAAGTTATGATTAATAGAATAGATATGTTATTTTCCTCAACGCTAACTTTTAATAATTACATTATGCCCTTCAAAGTTTACCATACTAAAAGTTAAACAAAAGGCAAAAATATAATTTAATTTAAAGAAGGTTTTTGAAGGAAAACTATTTTGTTATTTTTAAAACCCGTTAAAATGTACAACACTTTTAAAATGCTTAAACCCATTCATTGTTTAAAAAACTTGTTGGTTTTAATGATGAGAGTAGAATGTATGATATCCTAATTGCTTTAGACAGTTGTTTAGAAACAACTTCAAGTTTACGAGTTTAAATTATCTTCGAAAGCGACATTTATAAGCAAATCTCTCGGGGTCCAGTAGTTTCTAGGATTCTGGTTACAAAGTGGCTCTCGGATAGTTTTATTGTCTATGCGTTTAGTATCATCTTATTTTCTTGGCTATTTGTATCATTTAATTTTCTCAAGCAAACTGTATTGTAACCCCCTACATACATTCTCTTCTATTCGCCGACCAATTGTTATTTTTTTTTATTTGACGACCTATTACTTGTTTCATTCTATTCGTCGATCATAGTTGTTTTTTTTCATTTCTATTCGCCAACCAATTGCTTTTATCTTTCTATGCGCCAACTAATTGTTTTTCATCTGTCTATTCGCCGACCAAGTCTTATACGTCTATTCGCCGACAAATTACACTTTCATCTTTCTATTCGCCGACCAGGTATTATCCGTCTATTCGCCGACAAATTATACTTTTATCTTTCTATTCACCGACCAAGTGTTATCCGTCTATTCGCCGACAAATTATACTTTTATCTTTCTATTCACCAACCAAGTGTTATCCGTCTATTCGCCGACAAATTGTACTTTTATCTTTCTACTCGCCGACCACCCCATCAATTGTTAAAAATATAACTAACATTTTTCGTTACCATTACCTCCAATGTTTTGACTCATTATATTGACTGTAAAACTACGATCTATCAAACAAAGACGACAATCAACTGGATGTGACACAGTACTAGGGGAGTTGTGGGAAGTTTTGATTATAGAAATTTTCCCTTAGATGACCCGGGTAGCATTTCTCCTGCCATAGTTCAAGTGACATATTGCTTGGAAGTTTGTTGTATGGTGAAACAGTATAGTGACATATTGTTTGAAAGTTTGTTGTATGGTGCCATAATTCAAGTGACATATTGCTTGAAAGTTTGTTGTATGGTGCCATAATTCAAGTGACATATTGCTTGAAAGTTTGTTGTATGGTGCCATAATTCAAGTGACATATTGTTTGAAAGTTTGTTGTATGGTGCCATAGTTCAAGTGACATATTGTTTGAAAGTTTGTTGTATGGTGAAACAGTTTAGTGACATATTGCTTGAAAGTTTGTTGTATGGTGCCATAATTCAAGTGACATATACCTTGCAAGTTTGCTGTATGGTGCCATAATTCAAGTGACATATTGCTTGAAAGTTTGTTGTATGGTGCCATAATTCAAGTGACATATAACTTGCAAGTTTGCTGTATGGTGCCATAATTCAAGTGACATATTGCTTGAAAGTTTGTTGTATGGTGCAATAATTCAAATGACATATTGTTTGAAAGTTTGTTGTATGGTGCCATAATTCAAGTGACATATTGCTTGAAAGTTTGTTGTATGGTGCCATAATTCAAGTGACATATTGCTTGAAAGTTTGTTGTATGGTGCCATAATTCAAGTGACATATTGTTTGAAAGTTTGTTGTATGGTGCCATAGTTCAAGTGACATATTGTTTGAAAGTTTGTTGTATGGTGAAACAGTTTAGTGACATATTGCTTGAAAGTTTGTTGTATGGTGCCATAATTCAAGTGACATATACCTTGCAAGTTTGCTGTATGGTGCCATAATTAAAGTGACATATTGCTTGAAAGTTTGTTGTATGGTGCCATAATTCAAGTGACATATAACTTGCAAGTTTGCTGTATGGTGCCATAATTCAAGTGACATATTGCTTGAAAGTTTGTTGTATGGTGCAATAATTCAAATGACATATTGCTTGAAAGTTTGTTGTATGGTGCCATAATTCAAGTGACATATTGCTTGAAAGTTTGTTGTATGGTGCCATAATTCAAGTGACATATTGCTTGAAAGTTTGTTGTATGGTGCCATAATTCAAATGACATATTGCTTGAAAGTTTGTTGTATGGTGCCATAATTCAAGTGACATATTGCTTGAAAGTTTGTTGTATGGTGCCATAATTCAAATGACATAATGCTTGAAAGTTTGTTGTATGGTGCCATAATTCAAGTGACATATTGCTTGAAAGTTTGTTGTATGGTGCCATAATTCAAATGACATATTGCTTGAAAGTTTGCTGTATGGTGCTACAGTTTAGTGACATATTGTTTGAAAGTTTGTTGTATGGTGCTACAGTTTAGTGACATATTGTTTGAAAGTTTGATGTATGGTGCTACAGTTTAGTGACATATTGTTTGAAAGTTTGTTGTATGGTGCTACAGTTTAGTGACATATTGTTTGAAAGTTTGATGTATGGTGCTACAGTTTAGTGACATATTGTTTGAAAGTTTGTTGTATGGTGCTACAGTTTAGTGACATTTTGCATGAAAGTTTTCAGTAATTCCCTACATTTATGCAAAGTTATTTTATTACGTAAGTAGGCTAATAATGGTAATAATAATGGTAATAATAATAATAATATAGAAATAATAATGACAACATACAAACAATGATAATAATAACAATAATAAAGATAACGCATACGCCATAGTTAACTTAAACCTGAAATAATTTTAAAATTTTAAGTAAAGACAAAAAATCTTAATTAATTATAAGAAATGCGTAATATATATATATATATATATATATATATATATATATATATATATATATATATATATATATATATATATATATATATATATATATATATATATATATATATATGCAATATACATGTATTATCTTACTTGAATTCCCAAAGCATACATTTGACAAGGGCTTATCATTAGACTCTCAACAATAACATTGCTACGGCACGGATTATCTCGCTAACAGGAAGCACTGTAAAAATTACGTCACTCATGTCTAAAGTAAAAATAGCTTCTTCGACTTGACGGCCA